CAATAAAAGCATTCATATTTCAAGCGTGCACTTTGATCCATTTAAGGCTTGATCATACTCCACGTCTTAGGTAAACAAAGGGGGTTGAGGGGGTTATAGCAATGCTTTTGTGTGATACGGGGAAATCTGGAAAATGTAAAGCAAGCTAACACTGCACTAGCAAGCCCAAGTTCACCTGCAGTGTTGTCTTACATGAAAACTAGAGCGCATACCGAAGGAGGATAAATACAATTATGAGTTAAGTTGGTAATAATTACAATAATAATAGATTGAACAAGTAGCTGTGGCACTACCTAAAAATGTGTTCTGAGTCTTTAATCAGATGGCTTCACTCCATCTATTAATTGTTCTTAATGAGAAAACAAAATGAACTTATTCAATTGTCAATCAGTAATGGAAAGGTTCATTTGAATATTTGATTTTCTTTCTTTTTCTTTTACACTAACACATGTAATCTTAGGCTTTTTTCCCCTTTAAACTGCATGTGGACTGTAAGAATTCTAATAATGCTCTCATTTTTTCAGCTGTCCCTTCTTTTAACCTTTAACCCTTGCAGGAAAACGTCAGGGTCAGTCTGGTTTATGATTGCATAATCATCGAGCATTTCCCGACCTGCACTCCTCACTCGGAGCCCTGGACTTTACCTGGCCGCACATTCTTATGCACAACCGGCCGGGGCAATGTGTCCTTCAGCGACCTTGCCACTCCATCATCAATCACCTCTCAAGGAGAGGCGTTCACAGGGAAGACTGAATAAACGTCACTTTGTCAGTATGAACAACAGGACTCGCAAAACTTTTTAAAGGACGCTGCCTCACACCTCTGACATCCACTTTTCAGGATGAGCAATTGCAGATGCTACTCTGAATTCTGATACTGTCTCCGGCCTGAGTCGTGGTCCGCTCAGTCTGACGGCCTGCCTCTAAACACCTCAGGGCTAGACAAATAATGTTTGGTCAAATAGATGAAAAAAAAAAAAAAAGATCCTCTGCTTTCAGTAAAGAAAACATTTGGACAGTCTGCGAAGGATAAATCTGCTGTCATAGCCACTGTCATGATCTCAAAAATACCCACTCCTCTCTCTGACACCTATAATCAACAACATGCTTGAAGCCAACAGAAGTGTGCTCGAAGAATCTCGACCTTATCATTAAGGAATCATTTATTTTCTGTAGTTGCTGTTGGATTGTTACGTTGGACTCTAGATGTTACATAAAGAATGCAAATAGAATATTATAATGTCCGCAATAGTTCCAAATTAAGTGCAATCTTTCTATAAAAACATTTGCTCATGAGTGTAATCGGTATGAGAAGGATATGCCAGCCTCGTCGCTTTCAGACAGACCCTTCGCACAGCGAGGCCTTCTGCGGTGGAAACACATGATGAAGTGGCAAAAGCTAGATTTAGTGTCCTGACCAGAGAACAGAGATGGGCTTTGTTTTTGCTTTGCTCCTGTGGGACCCAGTTTGGCTGACGGCAGTGGGCTGGTGTCCATATGAGGGGGAGGGGGGGGGGGGGGGGGCATCACCCACAATACAGGAGCCCTCCATTAAAAGGACTGGCCTACAGGGGCAAGCAAATCACATCAAAAGAGACTTCTATGGGGGATTAATAATGTCGCTTAGTGTGCTGTATAAATTCCATCATTCATCAACGATGATAACAATAATGATGATATATATGAGTCCAGCCCCTAGCTAGGATTAGTAAGTTACAAGCAAAACAGTATACTCTCATCACGGAATTGGACTGGGAAGCCTAATAATGCTCCCCCATGACCTCGGATGAAAAAGTTAATGCTCATTTGGTTCAGAGTGAAATTACTATTAAAATGTTTCCTCAGACCTTGTCTCCAGAGCACCTAACCTTTCCCAAGCGCCACTGTAAAACCACTGTAGTGATTTTCATGAAAAGTGCTACATTTGATTAACATTCAACTGATGCCTAAACCTAAAAATATGAGTGCATCGAGTTTTCACGCTCGTCTTTTCTGCTCTGCTTGTCCAAAAGAGCAAGTGCACTAAACTAAGATTCTGAAAATAATACAATATATGTTTGCATGTTCTCTAGCTACTCCTAGATGAGTGGACCACTCTTGATGTAATTTTGCATAAACATTGCCTAGGGCAGGGGTGTCCAACTCCAGGCCTCAAGGGACGGTGTCCTGCAGGTTTTAGACATGTCCGTGATCCAACAGAGGTGATTTAAATGGCTAAATTACCTCCTCAACATGTCTTGAAGTTCTCCAGAGTCTTGTAATTATTTGATTCAGGTGTGTTGATCCAGGGATCTCTAAAATATGCAGGACACCGGCCCTTGAGGCCTGGAGTTAGACACCCCTGTTCTGGGGTAATGTGAATGCTAAAATACATATGACTTATACAAATATCTCATACAAAATCCCCAAATCATAAATAGTTATACATTTGATAGTTCAATTGAGTGTGTTTTTGTGTTTGTTATGCATTTTAACCGTCAGTGCAAATATTTAAACTTTTTGGTGCAGCTGAATGGCCGCTGATTATCGATCAAAGAAATAAGCCACTATAAAAGCATTTAAAATTGAGAAAATACTGCAGCAGAGCAGGCAGCAACATTGTGGGGATAAGAACACAATGTTTGGATAAGCATCATATTATAAGAGACTTTATAAACAACCTGTCATGTATTAAATCTTCTATATGAATTCATCATTAATTTTGCAGTATACATATTATTTAATATATTCTTCATTTTAGTAATTTATATTGTTTAGATTTGACAACTAATAAATAATCTAATAAGTCAGTATTCTGGTAAATTTACCAGTATATAGATCTTCCATCAATGAATTATTAAATTGTGTGCTTATTGTGCCAATAATATATCTGGTACCATATATTTGTACGCAGAGTATATCACAAACACACGCATACTAAAATGAAAATCTGCGAAATGTTTCATGTAATCACGATTTTAAAAACTACTGGACGCTGCCAGGCTACCCTCAGCCTCCTAGTAGATACACCTATGGTATCACTTTGAAAATCATACATGACATCTTTCTCGATTTATGGTGTTCACAAGATCTTCAGAAAACTTGGACTCTCACCTTGACCTTAACCTTGAAGTCAACCTCACTGAGATTCAAACTCATCTCAGACTTTTAGTAGATGCACCCATGGAACGAATTTCAAAATCCCACGTCTCCTCGTTCTTGAGTTCTCACATTCACAAACTTGGGTGTCACGCCACGCCTGGTGGTGTGACGATATTACCCCCTCAGCCTTTTATGGCAGAGAGGTTAAAAAGGGATGAAAAAGTGACAGTTATTCTTGACAGTTATTGTTTATTGAGCCAACACCAAAGCAAAGACCGGCGTGCAGTGCAGGGGGTTATTTTGAAGCACTTTTTTTTATTTCAGTGGTCCACAGGACATAACAACTGCATATAGAGAATAAACCGTCAAATCTACTAAAAACTTCTACCAACTTCCACCTTCTATGTTTGCTGGATTTCAGTTTGTCATTCACAGAGTATTTTGTCTGTTTTATTATGTCTGTGCCTAAACTGAATTAGAAAGGAAACAGATTGCCTCAGAATAAAAATGAATGAAACTAAAATTATCTGCATATCTAGAGCCATCGTTAAATAAGAAAAGATGTGCAAATCAGTTTCTGTTTCATTTAAAAAAAAAAAAACTTGCAGTGGGATCCAAGTTTCCATTCCTGCCCCAAACGGTCTGTTTGTTGAAGAACATTGAGAGCGCAGCTGCAGCAAGAGTGGTGCAAACATATACACATGCCTTATTAAGCTTGTCAATCAGCTGCCAATTCTCCACAACCCTCAGATCCATTCAGTCAGCCAGCCGTACAGGAAGGCAGTCAGTCGGCTGTGCCAGACGAGGGAACAGCTGGCCGCCACTTTCAACTCACTGAGGCTACCTGGTTTGGCATCAGCTTCCAGCAACAGGCGTATCTCTGCCAAATGCTGCATGTGGCAGGAAGAATGGAAAGACTGAACCAAGGGAGTGAGGTGAAGGAAGGGATAGGCCACGCAAACTGCTGCTCCAAAAGGTCAGGTGCGACAGACCTTTGGCTGAATGTCCTTAAAAGCCTCGCAATCATCATCTCCATCACTCCAATGGAACTGGAGAGAGAGTCGGACAATTTAATGGCACTAATAAGGCCCGGAGAGACAGGTGACACCATCCTGTAGGTCACCAGGCGACACAGCCACCCAAAAAGAAGTGAAAGAGAGGCAAAATTATACCGCTGCCATTATTCCAATCTAAATTTAACTGTCAGTCAGCAGTCGGCGGAGACGGGGGCCAAAACTGACTGTAATAATATTCACAGCAGTCACTGATGTAGTTTGCGTGCGCGTGTGTGTGTGTTTTGGCGTGAGTGGTGAGCTTAATATGTGTGCTTTCACATGCACATACCTCTGGGAATGACTGACTGAACAGAGCAAGTTATCAAGCCATCCGCTCTGTGTGATTTCAGCCCCTTTCTGATTTCCTCATCAGCCAGTGTCTGTGTCACCATCAGGTAGAAAAGCAGCTATCACCGGGCTGCACGGAGGTGAAAGCAATCAATAGCTGACTTCAGGGGGGGACACAGGAAGAGCTATCATGGAGCTCATCATCAGGCTGTATGAATACAGCCCTCTGGGAGATTGCATATGGTGCGAGAGTCATCGGCACGAGCCCGCCACAGTCAGTCACACTGTCAGAGCACCCTGATCTCACACTGCATTAGTCCCTAATATGATGCTATATATTATCGCTTTTAGGACATTTACTGTGGCAATTGTGGTTAAGCGCAAGGGCTGGAAGGTAAAAGAAAAAAAACACACTGGCAAGCCTCCTGCAGGGTAAAACCTGACAAGGATCTCCTAATTCCCACCATGTCCCCTGTTTGCCTTTTCCCAGCTACAGTGCAATACTGCTGCTGCGATGACAGCTATTAGGACTCTGGGGAGGACAAAACATTAAAGAGTGCTTGATTTAAGTACTCACAGCTTTTCCAGGGCAGCCAAGCCATAGAAGGAGCCGTTCCTCAGCAGAGAGATCTTGTTGTTACTCAGGTTTCTGTTTAGGGGCAAAAGATATGAGAGAGAGAGAGAAAGAAGTCGAGGTGAGCATGCAGAGCAAGTAAGAGGAGGCGCATTTGTAAATATCACAAAAACAGAGCTGGGGGAGATTACTTATTCAAATGGCTGATAAATTGTTTATCCTCTGCCTGTCAATATGTTGGCAAGAGATAAGGATTTATGCCTGATGAGATTGCGGCTGTAAATTACTCATCCAAGCCACGTTTTGGATTTGTTTATGGCCATTTGTGGTTAAGATGTGTAATGATCCAAGCCATCCACCACCCCCCACATGCCCCCTCCTGCACTCCTTCATGTCAAAATATCGGCCTAATAGAAAAGCTTAAGGAAACGCCAGGTCAGCACAATTCAGTCATCCATTGCTCACACCACAACAGCAAACAAATCAATGAAATGCACTGCAGGGATCTTTAAGTGATGAATTAATATTCAGAAGAGACGCAGTGCCTCCGTTTTGATTATTTCTATGACAGCCATCACTGCTTTTTCTCTTTTTTCCCCCTTTTTTGGGGATGAATTATGTCTGGGCTGGATGTAAAATGAGAAACTATGTTTCTCTGAGTGATGCATGTGTTTGAGGGAAATAGAAAAATAGCGCCTGGACAGGACTTCTCGGAGAGTACTTGAAAGCACAAACACACGCACACAACCTTATCGTGTCGCGAAAACGTAGGAAAATCCAATTTAACGCACGCTACACTTGCGGTATTTCTGTTAAACCTCTGTTATCTATCCGCGGAAATGAGCACAGCTAAAACAAATAAACACACATGGGGCATACCAAGGTAATCAGGTGGGTTTTTTTACTGTAGAAAAAACAAAACAAAACCCAGAGTGACTTATTAGACCACGTAAAGCTCGGGCGCCTGCTGCGGGTGCGAGAGGCATTTCAGATAAGGGCCCGAGTCTCCTCGAAGCCCGCTGCAGTAATTACTTTTGCTATGTTTGTCGAGAATAACATGACCACACAAAGTCACCTCTGAACCAGTTACTGCTGGAAATACAACGATACAGCAGACAAGAACAGGTAGTTCAGGGCTCCACTCTGAAATAAATCTCTCTCTCAAGCCGGACTTCCATGAGCAAATTGGCAAATAAAGACTTTTTGAGTTTTTTTCATTATACAGATTTCCTTAGATTTCCTTAAAACAGCGAGACGGTGTTACAATGCACCAATTATCCCTTTATGCTTCTATTTAGACAATTCAGGGTTGGAGACTGTCCCATGAGGTCATGAGGTGACAGGCAGGGAGAACGTGTAAACTCCACACAAAAGGGCCCAGGCTGGCCAGTGGGTTCAAACACTTCCCTGGCAGTGTGAGACAGTGCTAACTACTGCACCGCCACGCCACACCGAGGGTTTGTGTCTCAGTTCAGAAGCCTGGTGCCAATCAATCATATCCAACCACACAGACACAGTTAAAGGAGATTAAAGCTTTTATAAATTAGAAACTACTCACTACACTACTCACTGTCTATGTGAAGAGGATTGCTTGTAGCTAAAAACCAACAGAGAATTGTGATTTTATTTTGTAGTTTCAGATCACAGAGGTTGTTGACTTTCTCCTTTACTTTATATCTTTTAACCTCAGCACAAAAAACAGCAGTGATGCAAAAATGAAAGCACAAACAGAGCTCAAAGGAGAGACACTATTTATTATGTAACAGTTACATAGCCTGTATTAAAAAGACGAAGGTAGCCACCGTGTGATCATCCATCAGTTTTGCTTTTGAGTTAGTATTTTGTGTCGTTGTGTGAGTTTGTTTAGTGGCTAAAGAGGCTTTTTGTTTTCAACAGATTGGTGGGTTCCTTGTTATTAGCTAATGCTAGCAAACTTGCTAACCAAGCTTCCATGAACAATATGAATGCATTAATTGCGTTACACATTATATGAATGCAAACACCTGCTAATTAGTGTCAAGCAACAAAAAACTAAAAACTAAAAAAATTAAAGTAAAAATTTCTATAAATTTATTGAAATTAATACACATAATTTTCTCATTCACATTTAATTAGAGTAATTAAAGGTAATAGTATTTATAGGTACTGTTGGGGTAAAAAAAAGAAAGAAGGTATTTTCTCTGCAGACACATGGATGCAGATGCAACTTTACACATAGCTGTAGGCTATGGTGCAAGAGTCGGGGGGATGATGATATACGCAGCGCTTATTCTGCAGCCCACACTCACATAATTTTAAATACAACTCCAATGGAGATTCAAGGTTTTATATCTGCTAAAATATTGATTTCTCCAGCCAGCTCTTAAATCGTCTGCTGCAGGGCTGCTCTCTCTCGCTCTGTGATGCTGTGGATACGTACATACCCATGTGATCTGCTGCCTTGAGCTCTCCTTTGCATGTTGTGTATCTTCTTGTCAGCCAATGGCCACTTCACTCACTTACCCACACACATTCAGACAGATAGACAGTGGCAGATTTGCACAAGGTCAGATCCTTTTATCACCTTCCACCACTACCTTCCCATCTTCTTTTAACACAATGGGCTGTGGGAATGATCACCCAGGTTTAAGGAGAGAAGGCCAATTAGAATGTGGTGTTGATTTCTTCTGTGACGACAGTGCTCTCGTTATGGCTACATGCTCATTTTTAACCCCAGGATTAAGCAGCGGGATCCCACAATGCATTGTGCTGAACGGGCAACTCGCCGGCCAAACTGCTCAGGGTGCAGAGTGTGCACAATGAAAATGTACTTGTGAAGGCACAAACAGACATGCAAACTAGGCATGAACTCACAACAGGAAATAAATATTTGGTCTTTTTGGTCATGAGAATAAACAATTCTATAAAGATTTCTCTCGGTTTTTCGCTGAAAGGTTAAAAAATGATATTTGCACTTGCCATTTTTTGCACTTGCACTGGAGAATTGTCTCATTTAATTGAATAAGTTTGCTTCTGGGTGATATTTGGGGAAAGCACCTCTTTCTGCTCACAGTTGTCTTGGCAGGAAAAGCTAAATTGATGACAGGAAGTCCCCTCTCAGCAAAAGGCCAGGATGGACGCAAACTCGCGTCAGCAAATTTGTGTCAACATCTAAGCTTGTATTTATATTTGGGCCTACCCCAATAGCAAACTTCCAAGGAGATCGTATCTCTATTACTTCCAAAATGACTCTTTTTTTTTTTTTGACAGAGAACTAGTGGGAAGATCCGGCGGGACAAAATCCGCAGAGCCAATACAAGAGACAAAGAATGCACAAAAAAGATAGAAATAATCGGGTGAGATAATAGACTTTTCACTAAGCCCCTCCATCCAGTTATTGCTGCTATGGCTGTCAAGCGTTCCATTGTTGCACAAAGCACTTTACACACTGATACCACAGGCACATTTATCATTTGAAATTTGCAGTAATTCTTTAAACAGTGATATGACAGCTGATTTCACATGGAAGTAAACAGTAGGCTTCTCATTTCCAGCCAACAAGTGAAAATCTATTTTATCTGCTGTACGAACGACTGTCGTTTGACAGTCCACTGAATTTAGTGTTAGAAGACTGAGGCCAAAGCTGCTCGTCACCCGCATGAAGTCATACTGTCACCAGCTGATGATCAGCGTCAGTATGGAATAAGGAGGAGCATGGGCATGTTTTGCATAGTAGAGATGGTTAACCGTAGTTATATATGACATTTGTGCCAGTACCACTTTTTTCCATCTGCTATGTGCCACTGCTTGTGGGAGGAAGAGCACACCTTGTCGGTGGTACAGAACAGAGCAGCATTAACATGACAGAAAAGACACTGATTGTGTCAGACATGGCAGAGGAGGAGGAGCTGCAATGGAGGTGGGTTGCTAACCTTGCTCAGTAATGTAAATAACATGCCCTATATGAGATTTGCCAATCAGCTGTCAAATATCTGTCTGCACTGAAATCTCACCTGAACTAATTCCTCAATTATCAGTAAAAACGTAATTTAAATGTTACATGCCAAAAACGTCCTGTTTAACTGACTTTTATTTTGTGCTATTTTATTTTTACAAAACTGTTTTTTTTTTTTTTACATCAAGTGTAGTTATTACTTGAGCCCTGTGTCTACTGTTTTGGGACATGGTGAAATTCAAAGGCTTGCAATTTATGTGGGCTTGGCGAAATCAGTCAATTAGAAAGTGTAGGGCCAAATTAACTCATGGGTTGAAGGGGAAAAAAGTTCTGTGGGTGATCAGCTCAACTAACAATGGGCTAATTTACTAAAAACCTAAATTCACAAATCAAAACAAGCAGACTGGATAATGGACAAGCAGTCTAGTAATCAAAATAAAACAGTCTCCAGGAACAGCAATGGCAATTTAGATCACTGAGAGCCAACTTAATGGTAATTTCGTGTCTTTTTTTAGTGCAAACTTCTCTGTTAGAAATTGCTGAGGGCTGCTTATGTTCTGCATAAATCAGAGGAGCACAGGATTTGTGTAGAAAAAGGGCTGTTACAAACTATCCCATAGTGTAAACCTGAAATCTGCAACAGCTGATCTGTAGGATGTGCAGAATAACACAAAACATAATCTACCATCAAATACTTACCCATCTGTGCGTCGATGAACTTGCTGTTATTGTGTTATGTGCAATAATGCAAGCAATTCTCTCATTTTAGGAAGACGTTTTTATAAAACCCATTAGACATCAGAGATCAGTCTAGAAGTGTATGAGTCCCATTCATTTTTGCATTTTGACAGTCATTTCAATATGGCAATATGTGCATGAAAAAAAATCACGAAAGGTGACGATTTTATGACGTGCCATTTTCAAATGAAGGAATTTTCTCGATTAATTTTTCAACCATAACTGAATGTTACAAATAACAATTACAGTTCACAATTACAACTACATACAGAAACTGTTAAAAAATGGATAATATGCTCACAGAAAATTACGTTAGTTTTTTTTTACAGTGTAACTTTGAGCTATCCACTATATACAAATTCGTTCTCACTCATTTTGAGTATATCAGCATTCCTAGGGGCGA